ATATGATAAATTCACTTGCCTGAATGCGCCGGCGGGTGGCTGGCCTCGTCGTCGACGATGTAGCTGATGGGCGTGCAGCTGACCTGGCGCACCCAGGGAATGCCCGAGTAGTAGATGGAGGGCCAGAGGACGCCGCAGTCGGCGTAGATTAGGTCCGGCCGGTACCGCTCGATGGCCTCCTTCAGCCCTCGCTCAAAGACCTCGATCTCGGCGTAGTTTCCGCTGGTCTTGCAGAAGGCAATAAAGTTCTGCAGCTTCTCCGTCGGCGAGTACGGGCCGAAGACCTTGCTCGAGAAGAGGTCTCGGGCGATGACCTCGCCTGGCTTCTCTTCCTCCCGTCTGCTGACACTCTCGATGAGGTGCTCCTCGTAGCCGTACGCTGCCAGCTTTCCTCTGAACGTCTGGTTCACCACAAAGATCACTCGGTGGCCTCGGCCGGGCAGAGCGGCCAGGGCGCCGGTGGCGGCGTTCACCGGGCCGACGACGTTGTAGGGTGCAGCTAGGATGGTCAGAGACTTGTTTCGCTTGCTTGCCATTGTTTAGAGTGCGGAGAAGTTAGGTGAAAATGTTACAACGTCTGAAGAAGGCTCATTTATAAAACTGTCGTTTACTGACGCGCTGCTGTTGCTATTTTTGTGAATATGAGATAATTTGCTGCAAAAGTGCGCTGAGATTGTGCACTATCTCACTGATGCTGCTGCTTACGCAACTTTAGGTGCAAACGCCTAAAGATAAAACCTGTTCGTGCAAATAACGAATAACCTTTTCACCATCAAACAGTGCAAAGTACACATTCATTACAGTATCATTACTTTATTTTTTTGATGACACACTTTCGCTGCTAACCCAAAAGTGAACTGTTGCTGCTGCACTGATAACCTTTCTTTGCAACAAAGTGCACTGTGAGGGGCTTGATTTTAGAAAGCCTGTATCAACAAGAAGACAGTTTACTTCACTGAACTTGGCTATTGATAGGCGTCAGCCAGTGAGGGAGCCAAACCAAAGCAAACCAAATAGTCATCATGATAAGCATGGTAGTCTGCTACCGGTGCCAAAAAATATAAGAACAACAAGGATAGACACACACACACACTAAACAACAAAAAGTGGTGGCCCCTAGAGCGGCTGGTGGAGATAACAGTGGCACAACAGTAGTCAACGGTAGTGGCTACAGACTAAATAACAACAACAACAGCTAATCTTAGGCAAATCATAAGCTTCTGCTGCTTTTTGGCCAACTGTCATAGGCGAGGAAAACACCAGAAACGGAGAGCATCGCAGTTAGACAGTTTAAGCGAGAAAAAAGACAGGGAAAATATCCATCACAAAAATGATGTCCAATGTCCCGCAGATCATATCCACAAACAAAGTGGAGGCAATTCGTTTCTCCGTGGTGCTGTCATTTGAGAGCTTCAGCAGTCGCCTCAATCGAGACTCATTCTACGACAGCAAGACCTTCTCGCCGCCGGGCAGACCCAATGGACCGCACTTTTTCCTCCGACTGAAGCCAAAGCGGTACTTCAACTACACAAACACGCACTACGTCAAACTGGAGTTTCACCTAGCTAATTCGGCAGCTGCAGAAAAATGCTTCAGAGTGCACCACAGCACGGCAATTGTCAGTCAGAGTGGAGAAAAGTACGGACAGCCTAAAGGTAAAGACGGATAAAAATATGTTTTCATTTACCAGAGCTCACGCAAAAACTCAACAGAATCAACCTTCACAACCAACGACGACAAATCGTGGCTGCTCTTTGAGCACCCTCACCAGGAGCTGTTTGACCCCTCCAAAGGCCTGCTGCCCGATGACACGCTGACGTTTTGCAGTGAGGTAAGGGGACATTTTCGCTAAATTAAATTGACTTAGCCTTGCCATTTTTCCCGTCTAAACGCCGTTCAGTTCACATTTTAACTTGAGCACGACACCGAGGAGGTGTTCTTCTCCTGCAGAGACAGATACGAAAGCAGAGAACTTTTCGGCGTCGACCAGCAGCAGCAGCAGCTAATCACCGATCTGAAGCGCCTCTACGAGAGCAAGGCTTTTGCCGATGTGATCCTTCAGAGTGGTTGCCAGCAATTCCCAGCCCACAAAGCACTGCTCACCACCCGATCTCCTGTTTTTGCAGCCATGTTTGAGCACCCAACGACAAAGGAGTCGATGGAGGGCCGAGTGGTGATCGAGGACGTCAAAGCAGAGGTGCTTCAGCTGCTGCTCGCCTTTCTCTACACCGGTGCAGTTGATTTTAAAGGTGAGAATTTGACGGTGGAACTGCTGGCAGCTGCTGACAAGTACCAGGTGGACAGTTTGAAGGCGATCTGCGCGGAACGCATTGCAGCCGGACTCACCGTTCAGACAATGTTTCCCACCTTGCTCATCGCCGACCTGTACAGCTCACCGGAGCTAAAGTCAAGAGCGATGGACTTTATTGCGCAGTAAGTGCTACATTACAATCCGTTTACAATTTTTTTCTAAAGCAAACCCCTTTTCCTCAGTCAAACTTCAATTCAGGATAGGGTGAAAGCGTTGCTTAACGTCAACGATTCACCGGAGAAGATGATTGCACTGCTACAAAAAGCAGTTCAGTTGTGACGCCGAAAACGAGCTGTTCGTGTGCTGATGTTGTCAAAGTCCCTTCAATAAACATGCACTTACTTGACATTTGCAAACAAATTAAAAACCAGGCAAGTTATTGGCTGGTAGAGCTTGTATGCTCAAGTTGAATGTCGTTCGCCTGAATCNCTCTCTCCCTCTCTCTCTCTCTCTCTCTCTCTCTCTCTCTCTCTCTCTCTCTCTCTCTCTCTCTCTCTCTCTCTCCCTCTCTCTGGCTGCCAATGCTGCAACTAGTGTTTGAAAGAGGAGACAGATGGACAGTACGCTCGTGGTGACTACGGTTGCTACGGAGAGGCTCGCAAATGTCAGTTCCGGCGCTGCTGAGCAGCTTGAGTTGCTGCTGCTGCAGGCAAATCATAGTCTGCTCTTGATGCAGCCGCATTCGGCCAACTGTCAGAAGCAAAGAAAACACCTGAAACGGCGCATCGCATTGCATTTGAACAGTTTTAACGAACTGACAAAAGAAATGTCTACCACAAAAATGTCGCCCAATGTCCCGCAAATCATCTCCACAAACAGAGTGGAGGAAATTCGCTTCTCGGTGGTGCAGTCATTTGAGAACTTCAACAGTCGCAACAGTGAGGAGAGATTCTATGTTGACAGCAAGACCCTCTCGCCGCCGGGCAAACCCGATGGACCGCATTTTTTTCTTCGAATGCACAAGCACCCATCCCCCTACGAGCACACAAACGATTACTACTTCAACTTGGAGTTTCATCTAGCATCTTCTTCTTCTTCTGCTGCTGTTGCTGCAAAATGGTTCAAAGTGCGCCACAGCACGGCGATTGTCAGTCAGAGTGGAGAAAAGTACGGACAGTCTGAAGGTAAACACAAGTTCAAAATGTGTTTTTCACTTAAATAAATTTACTCAACTTTAGAATCACACTTCACAACTAACAAAGAGAAATCGTGGCATCTTTTTAAGCTTCGCCAACGAAAGCAGTTTGACAACTCCAACGGCCTTCTGCCTAATGACACATTGACGTTTCGTAGTGAGGTAAGGTTGTTTAGGTATAAGAATAAATTGATTCAGCATTTTT